TGACAAAATACTCATTCACGGGCTCGTACTCCAAAAGTCCTTTTCATTCAGCAGCCGCAAAAACATTTCAACCCCTGGGTGGAGTTATCGGTTCTGAACGCAGACAATGCTTTAGTAGGTCTAGCGAAACTGGTTTCAAAACCCACTCCTAACAATGGAACTTCGATGAAGCTGACTTTGGTCTTCTAAAAGCCTTAACGGACACCCTTAATTTTCAATTGAAGGCGTACGCTGACTTGTCATCTCGTCATCATCTTTTGATGCAGAGAAGAAGACGCTGTCATAGAACCTGCTTCTCGATGCCTCCTACAGTTTAAGTCATTGGTCTTGTACATAATGCGACGCATGTTTTGATTATGTAACTTTAACATAATCGCCGTCGCCGTAGTGTAGTTTTTTCAAGCCGATTCGCGAACGCTGAAGACATTTTCCACTTGACACATTAATATCTCATCTGACTCAGTTGCGAGAAGTTCGGCAGTCTCGGTGAGCTTGGAATCTTCGACGGCAAGGGCAAGACCTGAGTACAGCTCACGCTATAGCCACCTGAGCTACGAGGTCAAGGTTAGAGGAATTATGTAAACCTACCAAAAACACACTAATAGTTCTTGACTTAAGTTTGATGTGCTGATCTTGGTCGCACTCAAGGGAAAGGGTCTTTTCGAGTGAAATAAAATCAAATGGGGGCAGATGAACTGAATGCGATCGCCAGGGAATTAGTCCACCTCAGATAAACTATCTGTTTGGAAATCTGTATATTAACATTACCGTGCACTCAATGTATGCCTCAGGGCACTACCTCCTACCAAAAAAAGCGTGATTTTGAAGCTTTGGCCTTTGCAATACAAAACAAGGAAGACATTCATCAGCATTTTATGCAACTTCCACAATTAATTTCAGCAACTGACTCCATTCACTGCTTGTGTTCTGTCCAGTGTCCAGTTTCTTTGAAACTGTTCATTCATCAACTCTGGGACTGTTTGTGCGAATACCATTTTAAAACGGGCTAGAAGACCACATTCACACGAATATTTATACTTTAAAATTAACAAGACAAACCACACAACTTTATCTCCCCTAATATCTATCATTTAACAAAATATGTTCACTAAAGAACAAATAAAAAGTGTGTTAAACTGTCGCGGTAACTCAAGCGATTAGGCATACTCTAAGCATCACGACCTTCAGACTCGGCCTCGTATAAGAAGAGAAGTGCGACGCCAATGGGAAGGATGTTACATTCTGTCGGAGAGGAATTTGACAGCCGAACAAGGACATACGTCCAATGCAGCAAGAGCCGGCGCCCCGACAGAGAGTGCGCCAGTGCCCATAGCGCCTTAGACATGAAGATGATTGGTTAATTTGCACAGACGTGCTGGGCCGAGAACCAGATTGCTGCTGGCATTGGTGAGAGGTAAAGGCGTCCGGCGTAGGGCTATAACAAAACCTTCAAATGGTTCTTAGCACACAGTTCTTTCATTCGTGCAGCGTGACTTTATAAACGCCCCGATATGCCAGCCCCGATTTATTTACGCGTTTACCGGGCCATCCATACTGCACCCATGTCCGATTAAGCCTCTATTTTATTTATTTTTCAGGCAGGATAGCATGGGCCAGAAATTACTACCGTCGACTGGAGGAACCCATGAATGTAATCTGCCAAATGGCGGCCAAGATCCTGCTGTCACCGGAGGGTCAAGAGCTCGTCAGCAGCTATAATGATGTGGCGGGTCATTTAGTGGCCTATGAGATCACCGTCTACCAGACATGGACAAAGTTGGCGAGTTTCACATCTGCTCTTTTTTCTATCCTTTTTTTTCGTCTGACTTTAACTTTGCGCCTATGAGTGGCGCTGCCGGACAGAAATGAACAGTTTCAGTCCGTTTTTGCGGCTCAGGTGAAGATGCCCCGTGATGAGCTTTCATGGGTCACAGGAGTGGACCGTGAGTAGAGAGAGAGGTTCGCTTAATTGTGAAAATATCATTGCGCAATTTTCAGCGAAACGTCCTCCATTCACAAGGAATAAAACTAGGCGCACAAACTCACAAAACCAAAAAATCAAAAGCAATCCATGATCGTCAATGACTGCAATCATCGACATCGTATATAAATGTCGCTGGAAAATTCGTCAAATATGGGCCACATTGGATTGATTTCCCAGCGGTGCCAAATCAGTTTTTAATGGACGAAGTAGGCCAACCGACGCATCTATAAGAAAATTTGCATGCAAATGGAGGGGGGGGAATGGCGGCTCAATTTGAAAAGCCTGCGTGGACTAAGACCGATGGAGACTAAGTCAACGCTATCTACAACAGTTCTCGATTATTTATCCCTGTAGCTAAAATGCAATTGTCTGCCTAACCTCTTGCTTTGGAACGTCAAGGCAGAAAGGGTCATAACCGTTCCTGGCTGAAAATAAGGATAAGTCGATGAATGCCACCCACAGATGAGCTTGTATGTTTTACGACCTCAGCCGACTGAACTTGGATCCGTGAAGTCTAAGTACTGGTGGTACTCAGAGCGCTACAGTCATCAGACGCAATTCCTAAAAGGGAAAGACCCCAGTAGAAGTCACGCGTTCCCTAAAGAAACTCAATGGTGGTAAAACGCTCCGATGCGCGGCAATCTTTGAGTCTGCGTCTGTCAGCTACAGTGACATGGGGCGTAAGTGGATAAACATCGTGTGAGCGTCAGTTCATGTCCACTTATCCAGCTGATTGGCCGATAACAATTTGTGGGCACCTGTGATTGGCTGTCCTTAAGAGGCTGGCTGCGTGCATTGGCCTGCAACTCGATAACTGTGATCACATGACTACTAGGGCGTTACGAGCACCAGAGGCGAAAGATGCTGCAGATCCACCTTAAAGATACCCCGATGCCTAGTGTCAGGATATCACTAACCGATGATGACAAATAATAGCCCGAAGTTCCTGTGTCTCAGGCTAACCTTGCCTCATCAGTATCAGTATAAATTTATTGAGGGGAAGGTAAGTGAACGTCTTTGAACTCCCTATTGGTAACAAGATCATAAGAAATATATGGATACAAAGAAAATTTAAAAAGTACGTTAATTACATGTTGCGGGGGAAGACAGCAGTTGCGGGGTAGTCGAAATATTAATACAACATGCCTACTCGCTTATCACGAGTAGTATAGTGTAATGTAGTGTCCTGTTTGCGCTTGTTTCTGTAGCCCCAGTCTGTAGGCAGAAGAGACTATAGAGTAGGCTAAAGTTATACCCTCTGTTGTTGTAATTCAGATTCTGAAAAAGATGAACGGACTCTCCGCCTCGCTGCTTACCTTCTCAGACCTGCCACAGCCATTTGGTCGCCCGTATGTAAACCTGGACCCCGAAATCATTGGCCTTCTTCGGGAGATTGCCTGCCTGGACAAACTCCAGTGTCCTATTCCGCCCCTGGCAGTGGAACTGTGGGCTCAAACAGACAATATCCGTCACAATTACGAAAACCTGAAGGTGAATTGCTTTTGGTTCAAAAGGTTTGCTCAGCCGGGCCCTTAAGACCTCGCATTCAGGCACCAAGTAGATAAACTGCACGGAAAGACGCTCAGTCTGGAAGATAGGCAAGCCTGACTGAAGGAGGATGAGACAAATATTCGGCAGGGCTGGTTCTTTTTCTCGTTCCCGTTTTGGAGGGAGGAGGGGCATTTGGTCCAACATCTTCACAATTTTATTTTGAAATGTATTTCTAAATATTGAGTTTCAGTTGTAACACATCACAGGCTCCAATCAACGCTAAGTTTGATGCCAACAATCTACATAGTGAAGGCTTTACGGTAACAATATATTATAGGTAACACCATGCCCTTGTTTACTTTGCATAGCTGCCTACTTATTTCTTAGTAATAAGCATTTTCTTTTTTACTCATTTGGCGGCGGTTGTGTTAATTACCGCAAGCTTAGGACATAGTCCCTCCCCATATCCCACTGCCCCACCAAGGAAACCTTTAGTGACATGCAACTAAGTTTCGATTACAGAAAATACATTCCGTAAGCCGCTTCGGTTACTTATTTCGTCATACTCCATTGTCTCCCCTATGCAGAAATCTCTAGTTTCTATCGACAGCTCTTCGAACGTACGAAGCACAAAACATGTCATCAGTCGTTTACCCAATAACTTTGCGGTTCGCTTGAGGTACACACGCTTCCATTATCTATTGTTCTAATAACTAACTATTACCTAATGATTACTTATTATACTATATTGCTACCGGCCTTACTTAAGCCAGTCGTGCCTTCTTTAAGTCTCAAAGTTACGATAAAGCGGTCATGGGCGGTAAGTATGGCATTACAGTACATAGAAATTTGACGGGGATATGCCTAAACCTCGCAAATGTGGAACGACTTGACTTCAATTTTATTAGCAGCTCCGATTGGCATGAGGATGACCCATTCTCGAGTGAATCCTTTCCGCAATCTGGTTCCACCCCACGAGCAAGTTATTATCAGTATCCTCCTCTATTGGCATGTCTACAGCCTTTCTCCAATACATGCTCATCTTGTTGTCAACGCATGTCTTCTAACCATTAATGATCCTGTTAACTGGAACCTCTCCTTTTCACCCTTGTAGTATATGTGCATCCAGTATGCCGAGGCAATGGACGCGGTGCCGGCATTCTGTAAGGTCATGGTGGCTCCTACCCTCATGAGCCTTAATCGTACCCTCGAGCCAGGTATGTACTTACACAACTGGCTCAGCATTGGTGTGCCGAAATACGTCCAGGTAAGTGGTCACCACATACTCGATGCCTGCCGTTGAATGTGTGCTTCCTTCTGTCCTCACCAATACTACGTCTTTTTCTATATTCAGAGTGTCTTGGATGAGATAGACAGATTCAAAGACCTGATTAGACAAATCATTGACATTCGCAATAACCGGATCGACAAGGTTATCGGCGACCTGGGTCTCACCAAAATGCTAGATCTGCCGGGCCCGAATGATCCCTGTCCAGAAATCATGGACCTGGTGAGACTGACGAAACAGCAGACAACTGCGGCTACGGAGGGCATGAACAATCTCACTACTGCAGCCTTAAAGGCCACGGTGGAAATGCTGAATCTCCTGTTGCGTGACTACGATCAGTTTGTTGATGAGCATAATCTAAACGCGCAGATTGAAATGGAGGTCCAGCTGCGACTTGCTCACATGGACAATCAGGAGGGCGGTGAGTTTCGACATCTGCTTTTGCCATTGACACCCCTGTTTACTTTGCATAACGACCTACTTATTTCGTATTAGTAGGTATGTCTTGTACTACTACTTTGGCTTCGGTTGTTGTTTTCAACAACAGACCGT